CGATAATGCTTTGTGGTTCTGGGTCTTGACTGACCTCTTGTTGGTAATACTTCCCCATGATTTTGATTTATGGGTGGTGGTGTTCTTTCTCTTTGTCTCTCCATTATAAAATCGTGATGAGAAAAGTTATTTTTATTAAAAGGATATATTCCAGATTTGCGAAAACCATTCGCGGAAATTTCTGCTGTAGCACTTTTCAAATATGCCGGGCACATAAGATTACAAATTTGATACGAGTTTATGGTGCGTCCAGGATTTTGCCTTAACCACATCTCAATTTGTTGCGAATAATATGTTTTAAATGGTGACATAAAAGACAAATCTAGAGGTTGTAGTTTGTGTGAACTGTGCGGCGGGATACACAAAATTGTAACGAAATTTGCACGTCCTGCTTCTATCACATCTATATTTCTTGTGTGGCTGTAGTGACCATCAAGAATAAGCAGCACTGGGTCTTCACGGGATGGTTTCACGTGAGCTACGAAATGCTGTAGCCATTGGGAAAAAATGTGCTGCTGAATCCAACCTGATGGATGGCAAGCTGCAATAGAGCCAGGCGGCGATCCATCTAATAATTCCACTTTCATGTTCTTTCTTGGAAACACGAATAATGGAGGGACAAACCCACCAGCAGCATTCATACAAAATACAACAGTAACTAATGCGCCTCTTTCAGTCGCGGTAACAGATCCAACCTGTTTTTTTCCTTTTAATGTTATAACACGAGTATTCTTGGACTGAACCGTTGTTATGCCGCTTTCATCAACGTTATAAACTCTTGCGGGGTTGAAGTTAACTTTTTCCATTGACGTTTCTAAAAGATCATAGAATCTGCTGACATTTTCTGGGGTAAATCCCTTAATTCGGGCTTTCGAGATTCCTTGTGGTTTTCTAAGGGACAAAAACTGCGTTTCGCCTCATAAATCCCCTTAACCATTTTTTTACCGGCAGATTCGGCATGGGCAAATGGATGACAAAGACCATTTCGTAAAGCTATTTGATATGCAAGTCTCTTGATATCAGCGGTCCCAATTCCGTAAAAATCGCCGGTCCATTTCTAGGCAATACGAGACTAAATCTGCTTCCATTTCTGCAGAAAGTACTGGTCTTCTTCCAATTTTAACAGCAACCAACTGCTCTGGAGTTTTATTTTCTTGCTTAACATAATCTTCCAGAGTTGATTTCGGAACAGCAAATAACTTCGAGGCTTTAAGATACCCCATTTCCTTTCCCCTGACGGCACGGATAACACGTATCATTCGGTCTGGATCCCATTGTTTATGTTTTTTACTTGTTTTTGGCATTTCCTTCTGAAAAGAAACAAAAGTGTTTATGCTAACATGATCATCAATTTAAGGTTCCTAATATCGGATATCCGAAATTATGTGACTTGTACTATCCGAAATTAGGAATTTTTTATTTTTAAGGTTAGGGCTCTCTAATTTATATGTGATTAAAATCTGCTTTAAATTAGTAGCAAAATCAAATAAAACAGGTTTCTAGCTTACCCCTGCCAAAGATCAAAGTTCAAACAGGAATAAAAACACGAAAAAAATAGGCTTTGAAATACGACCGAAAAAAAACTGCACAATAACGTTTGGTGGTTTCGGCACTGCCATCTAACGGGGAGCAGCTCTACTACCTAAACAATTTAAGATAATGTTCTCTGTGGTATTCAGCGTGACATACGTATAGGTTTCTGTTCGCAAATAAAGAAACTTTTTTAGATACACCGCTATCCGAAATTAAGACACTATCCAAAATTAGGCTACTTTCCTCTAATCAGATTTCGATTATTTAAACTTTAAATTTAACATAAAACCATTAAATGTCTCATTCCATGCCTTTGGAGCTTGTTTTAAATCATAGATTGCCCGTTTTAACAGACAAACCTTATTTTTGTCCTCTTCTGATACTTTTAATCCTTCTGGAATTTTCATAAAAAGTTTTTCTTTGATATTACTATGTAAAAACGCATTTTTAACATCCAGTTGTTCTAATTCCAAATTATAGTTATTGAAAATAGCTAATAATATTCTTAGAGTTGAAAGTTCTGCAACTGGAGCATGAATTTGACCAAACTCACCAAAATCATGTTGTTCGAATCCTCTAGTAACTAATCTTGTTTTATATAAACATTTTTCTTTTTCATTATCCTTGACTCTAAATACCCATCTGTTTCCAATAACATTTTCTTTTTCTGGTTTTTCTACCAATTCCCATGTATTATTATTATCTTTTAAAGCATTGAGTTCATCAGCAATAGCATTTTCTCAATTACTCCAATTTGAACTTTGTTGTATTTGATAGTATGATTGAGGAACATCTGAGGACTCACTCAGTAATGCCAAACAGCTTATGTCGATTTCATAGTCAACGAATTTAGCAGGTAACTCAGTCAACGAATATAGCAGGTAACCTAGTTTGTCTTTTTGATCTAGCATTTTGCTTCATATCTTGGAAAACATATTCTGTTTTTGTTATTTCATTTGTCTCTTCTATCTTCCCTTTTGCAATTTCATCTCTGATGCCATTAACATTTTCCCAATCATTTTCAGTTTGTTTCCTATCTGGAAAATATTTAAAATTGATCTCATCAAATATGACATTTCTACTGTAAACAAATTTATTTTCATTTTTGTTTCCATATTTATTATCATCCAGTTTTGTTTTAAGAGAATCTGAAATTCTTGCATAAGCTATACATCCAAAAACTCGCATATTCCTAACATTTGGCTTCTTATTTAGTCATAACTCATAAGGAGTTTTTTCTTTATTCAAACATGATTGTGTTCTGTTGTTTATAAAGGCTGATAAAAGCACTGCCTCTTCCCAGAATGACTTGTCTATATTTGTCTGATTAATCATTGATCTTGCTCTATGCATCAATGTTTGGTTCATTCTTTCTGCTACACCTTGAGGTGTGGAGTATATGGTGGGGTATATAAAATTTGAATGCTCTTTTGTGAACAAAAATTTTCAAAACCTTTTGATCTATACTCACCTCCATTATCACATTTTATTTTAGCAATTTTCTTACCACAAAACAAAGATGTTACCTTTGCTTCATAATCTTTTATACAGTTAAATACCTCATTTTTATGTTTAATTACATACACCATGACAAACCTTGAGTAATCATCTACAAAAGTTACAAAATAACTATTACCATTATGTGATATCGGTATAATAGGACCGCAAATATCATTTCGAGAACTCTACTTGTTTACTTGTTGAAAAATATGACAAACACTTTTGTTTGCTTTTTACACAGATATCACACAACCCATTATTTTTTGAACTTGCAAACTGCATGCCATTAACCAATTTTTTATTTTTTATTTGTAACAATGAATTTTAATTTAAATGGCCACACCTTTGATGCCAAACATCTGTTTCTTTACCAACAACTAAGTTTGCATACTCAGAATTACAATGCTTAAAAATGATTTTATATAGATTATTACTTCTATTACCTTCAGCATAAATACAGTTACCTCTTTTAATGACAATTTTATTATTAAAATATTTTATTTCAAAACCAGCTTTTTCAATTGTTGATATTGATAACAAATTTGCTCGTAAACCAGGTACAGACAGCACATTTTTAATAGTAATAACAGCTCTTATGTTATTCACTTCACTTATCACTTTTAAGTCCCCGACACAGGTTGCCTCCATAAACTTTTCTTTTTCTGCTAACTGTATTGACCTTGGCTCCACTAAGTATTTTTTGTTTATTAGGTTTGACCTATCATTAATATAATAATGTGTAGCTACTGAATCAGCGTACCATTCTATTTTACTAGGTGTTGACACATACTCACTCGAAGCACAGAATGCAACAGATTGCGATGATGTCTGAATGTCACTGTTTTGATTATTACATAACTCTTCAGCTAAATTTGCCCTATTGTTAACTTAATTTTGTCTGCTTTTATTCAGGTAGCAGTATTTTTATTTGTGTCCCATTTTGTTTCATGTATGATATTGTATACAACAAACATTCTTTAAATGACCCATCTTACCATTTAAAGCATTTAACACCTTTTTGAGTCACACTACATGGTGATGCCATAACTTTAGTTACATTTTTATTTTTATTTGAGCTCAATTCTAATAGCCTACTCTTTACAAATTCAACCTTCAGGTCTGCTTCGGATAAAGTTTGTATAGCTGTAACTATCCCCTCAAAATCATGTGACATGGATAGCAACAAAAACATGCAATATCTGAATCTTCAAAATAGCTCCCCACACTTTTAATGTAGTAGCTCCCCAGTAGTATTCGAACAATGTGTAGCAAATGTGATGTCGGCATGTGTATTGACTGCAATTATACTTTTCATATAAAGACATTCTAGTTATAATATAAATTTTATTCTATTTCTTAAGAATTTATTTTATTTTAGTTATGGTACCGTAATGACCATCGAGCAAAAAGATAAAAGAGGGAATGTAAAGGTAGAGGGGACAAAAATATTGTTAGACAGGAAGTGCTATCTTGAGAGGCCACTCTAAACAAGGAAAGGCAGTCTCTTTCCTTGTTTGAAAAGTCAAATTTAGTTTGGTTATGTTATTGTTTGTCCCAACTGTCACATGAAATTTTATTTATATTGAAGTTTTTTACCAATTGTGTCACTTTTTAGACTATTATAGTTAATATTTAATTTAAATTAATTTAAAACTTTCTCGTCTGAAAAATATTTTATAGCTATTGTTAATAAGTGTTGGAAAATTTAAATTTAGCGCCTTTGCGTTTCCGGATATGTCCGCCATCAGAGGCCACTTTTTTGGTCTCCTTTTCATACCGCTTAGATTCCCTCTTTTATCTTTTTGCTCGATGGTAATGACCTAGCGTTACATTTATGTAACACATATTTTTTTGTTAGTTGATAAGGTCTTGGGTTAAAAAATTGTTAATTTGTCTATTATTATACATTTTTAGTAACAATATATTAGAGTCTTTAATAAATTACAAAAAAAAACTCGGGTCATAATGGGTTAATGTTAAATAAATTCATTATTATTTTAATTAAATATGCATTATTTTATTTAAAACCCTTGTTATATAAACTTTAATTTTTATTCATACGGAATATATTTTAAGGAAAATCATTTCTGGATCAGAAGCTTCTACCCTAAGCATCACAAACATTGGGTTTATTATCTTTTAATAAACTGCAAATAGTGGCAACAAAATCTTGGGTAGCTTCATTTTCCAAATCCTTATCATAAACGCCATTAAATCGTATATTTGGTACGTATGGTAGTGCAGGATTCAATTTTGATTGTCTCTCGGAGTATGATAACAAAAGTTCGTCTGCACGGGATCCTTCTCTACAAACTTGAATCTCATCAAAAGAAATACTACCTCCAGAGCACTGCAAAAATGGATATTAAAAAATAATTAATATATATATAAAACGTAATAAAAGTGCAGTACTTAATTGAAAGTACAATATTAAAATTCATCACTCTCAAACATTCAATTTTAAGTTATTTACTATTTTCACTTTTACAAAAACATTATATAGTATCCAAATGTCTTTAGGATAACTTGATAGTCAAAGTACAGCATTGATGATATGAATAAAAAAATGAGAATTATATTCAATAATGTGATGAAAAATGCCATTTTTTTACGTACGATCACTGCTTTGCTCTTAGTAAAATTCAGTTAATAACTGAATATAAAAAATGTTCATATAAAAAGTTATTTTTTAAAGAAACTGTATCTATCTATATAAAAGGCTATGATGATAAGTCACACCGTTGTTACAGTAAATTAACGACGCCATCTAGAAAAGAAATCTCAACTACCACCATTTGACATTTCAATCATATTTTATTCTTGAAACAATACGTTTAATTAATAGTACTTATTAATTACATATTATTATAATTAATAATTAATTTAAATACTATTTTTAAGGTAGAATTTAATACAAAATAATTTAAAGCTTTATGTTAGTTTAGATTTAGAATCCCTAGTCCAACGCCATCTGAACAAAGAAATCTAAACTACTGACATTTCAACCTATAAGTCAATCATACATATTTGTTTTAAAATCTAAACAGATAATCTGACCGATAAAATAAATTAAAATTATCATTAAAACCGGATATGCAACATAATTTTTTATGTATAGAAGAGAAGATTTGGGTACTATTTCATCCAGTGGAAGTAGCTGTAAGGTTGAAAAGATTCAACTCTTCTAATTTACAGCAACATTCTACGTTTTTTGAAGATGGATTGTTAAATGAAGACATTATTAAACTTTTTGAAGTTGAAGATGTTTGAGCTAACTTTATATAATATTTTAGTGATATGAAAAAACCTGAGAAGAATTATAAATCATTTAAGTATTATTTTTTTATTCGTTATTAAATTTTTCTTTACATAATTTAATTTCATCAGAAATGAAAATGGAGATCTCCTCACGGACCTATGTAGCACGAATGAACTACGCATCAACAACACTTTTTTCCCTCATAAGGAACAATACAAATACACATTCGAAAATACAAGAGGTCAAAGGTCAATGATAGACTACATCCTAACGAACATTGTAATACATCCCTCTAAAGTATTGGACATAAGAGCACTAACATCTGCAGAAATAGGAAGCGACCATAAGCTTATACTTGGAAAAATCAGAATGACGACACGCATATGTAACAATAAAAACAATAAAAATAAAAAAGAAGAATACACCACAAAGGTAAAAGTCGAGAGTCTGCAGAACGAATCAACAAAACTTCTATACCAAAAGAGAGTCAAAGATAAACTCGACAACGTGCACATCGTAGAAAGTGATGGAATCGAAGAAAGCTGGGCGAAAATTAAAGCAAGCATCCTAGATTCAGCAAAAGAAGCTGTAGGAGAAAGGAAAATTCTTAAAAATAAATATTTCCAAAAGCGGAAAACTCCGTGGTTCTGCGCAGAAGTGAAAGAAAAATGCAAAGAAAAAAAGAAAGCTTACTTAAGATACATGTCTAACAAAACACCACAAGAATACAACAATTACAAAAAGATAAGAAACGAAACAATAGCACTAGTAAGAAAAATTAAAAACGAACACTGGGAACGCTTCTCAAAAGAAATGGAACACGACTTTTACGGTCTACAAAAGGAAATATGGCGTTTCATAAGAGGCCAAAGATCAGAGATGAAAGACTTAATCGAACCGAAACACATAGATAACGACACATGGATTGAATACCTAAAGAAGCTTTATAATGATGAACAGCAAATGATGTTAGAACCAGAAACACCAGAAATCATTACAAACGAGGAAGTCGAGATAACCGTACAAGAAGTAAAACAAACTTTAGAAAAACTGAAGAACAGAAAAGCTGCAGGTAAAGATGGAATTCCAAATGAATTATTGAAATATGGTGGAGAAGCATTAACAGAACAGCTAACAGCACTAATTAACAAAATCATTAAACATAATAAAATACCTGAAGAGTGGAAGAAAAGCGAGCTTATCCTACTATACAAAAAAGGAGATAAAAAACAACCTGAAAACTACAGAGGTATCAACTTATTAAACACCACTTTGAAGCTTACAACCAAAATATTGCAAGGCCAAATAAATCAGAGAATACCTTAGCGGATGAACAGCAGGGTTTTTGCACAGGAAGATCGTGCACAGATGCAGTATTCATCATAAAACAGATTACCGAGAAAGCACTAGAGTATAACAGACCAGCATTCATATGTCTAATAGACCTGAAGAAAGCGTTCGATAAAGTAAAGCTTAAAGATGTAATTCACCTTCTTTACGATAGAGAAATTCCACTAAATGTTATAAAAACAATAGAGAACATTTACCAGAACAACAATATGGAAGTCAGAATAGATGACCAGCTTACAGATCCAATAGATATGGGCAATGGAATAAGACAAGGAGACTCGCTTAGTCCAACGCTATTCAATCTAATCATGGATGAAATCATCAATACTATTAATAAAGGAAGAGGATACAAAATGGGGAACAAAGAAATCAGAATACTCTGCTATGCAGATGATGCGGCCCTAATTGCATCCAATGAAGACGATCTACAAAGACTAACCCATAGATTCAACACAAGGGCAAAGGACTTTAATATGGTGATCTCTACACAGAAAACTAAAACAATTGTAATCAGTAAAGAACCAATTAGATGTAAACTGGAAATCGACGGTATCAGCATTGAGCAAGTAATGGAGACAAATTACCTAGGAATTACACTGTCTAGCTACGGAGATGTGGAGAAGGAAGTGAAAAATCCAGTACAAAAGGCTAATAAAATAGCAGGTTGTCTTAATAACACGATATGGCGCAATCCCCACATTAATACTGACGTGAAATCAAGAATCTACAAAGCAACAATAAGACCAATAATGACATACACTTCAGAGACAAGACCGGATACCTCCAAAACTCAGCAACTACTAGAAACAGCGGAGATGCGTTTACTGAGGAGAATTACAGGAAACACACTGAGGGATCGAATGAGGAGTGAAGAGATCAGAAGAAAATGCAATATACCAGAAATAAATGAGTGGACACTGAACAGAAAAAAGGAATGGAACGAACACATAAACAGAATGGAAGAGACCCGATTAGTCAGAATAGCGAGGGACAAATCACCAAAAGGTAGAAGAAGTATCGGGCGACCACGCAAAAGATGGAGTGATAACCTCCAATAGAGGCATTAATCGACAATGAACAAGCATTTTGCTTATAAAAAAGAAGAAGAAGATAATTTACTGCACCACAAATTGTATAATCAAAAGAGATATTAAAATATTGTTGTAATTTCTTTGACAATTAATTAAATGAACTTTGATAAAATTAAAGGCAGATATCGAGCACAGTTTTATTAATTAAATCTTGCCCAAGTACTTTTGCTTTCTAGAACACCTATAGGGGCATTTCCTCAATTTTGGGCTATCCAACAATCGCAGAATGTCATAAACATAAAATTAAACATAAAATTGTACATAACACTACACTCCATAAAGACACAGAATTTAAAATTATTTTAAAAATAGTCGAAGCTACATTCTGGTTGGCAACAGGAGAGAGAATGTTCATTTATTCAAGCATTTAACCTTATAATCATTTAATTAATTAAGTATTGGTGTGTTCCAAAATAAATTTTAGATTGATCTTACAGATAAGTAACCGCAACATAATTTGACGTGAAAAGATTGGTACATTTTATTTTTTAAATAAATGTCTATCCTTCAGATAACTGTCTGTCAGATAGGACAATAGGATAGGAAGAATCCCTTTCATGCAAGAAGTGTATTATTTTAAAAATTTAATTTTTAATTCTTTCGGAAATTTTGTTGATCCTAAAAAATTGGCTGCGAATTTGGTGATAAGTAGAAAACTGAAGATTTTCCAAAAAATAAATTGCCAAACACGATTTACGCTGGTTTTATACGTAGGTCGATTTCATAAGATAACTTTCCGCAAAAAGTTCAGCGACTCTCCAAAAGTAACTTATTTGTTATGAAAGTTGTACAACAGAATAAAATATTATTATGTTGTCGTCCTAGCCTCAAATAGAAGGAAGACAGAAAAAACTAAGTGGAGTAATTGTAAATGCAATTGATTGGATCCCTCTCGCATGGTGATCGGCAAAATGCGTACACGTAAACTTATCACCTTCTTCTTCTTCTACTTTTTGTAGATCTTTCGATCTGTTTAAATCTGAAGCTGCCTCTGGTTAATTTCTTGGGAGGTAGATTGCCAACTATCCCTCCATCTTTTAGGTGGTCTTCCGGGGGGTCTTGAACCGGGCGGATTGTTTTCTAGAGCAATTTTTGGGAGTCTATTCTCATTTATTCGTCTTACATGGTTGTACCACATCCTCTTGTGCTGCCTTCCCCATCTTACAATATCTTGAATTTTGCACTGCTCTCTAATGTTTGTATTTCTCGCTCTGTCTCTTCTTGTTTTCCCCATTATTGTTCTTAGGGTTTTCATTTCGGCAACCCTTAGCATCTGTTTCGTTTTGTTAGTATCTTCGCGCACTTCTATGCCATATGTCATGATCGGTCGTATGCAAGTCTTATAGATTCTAATTTTACTATCTGTGCGCATATACGGATTTGACCAGGCTATCTCCCGCAGACATCCTGACAGTGCAGATGCTTTGTTGATCTGACTCCTCAGGTCCTTTACTGGATCGTGGGTGCTTAATATATCTATGCCCAGATATCTGAATTGCATCACCTGTTCTATGGGGTTGTCCTCAACCCCTAACTTACATCTGAGCGGATCTTTTGCTATTGTCATACATTTAGTTTTATTGGTAGAGATGTTCATATTTAGTAGTCGGCTTGTTTGAAAGAACTGAAAGAGCTGCCTTTGGAGATCAT